GTCCTCACCTATTAAGTGGAAATAATGTACTTCTCTCACAGAGCACAGAGTTGTTGGAGAACTGAGTGAAGTGGTGCATGTGAAGTGCCTGGCCCACTAAAAGTGTTCATAAATAGTGGTCCCATTTCTCTTTTCCTTCCAGATTCCCGGGAGAGTATGTATTTAGCAAAAGCCCTAGAAGAACCTCCTGCCCTCACAGATTTCTGCTCTTAGGTCTGCAGTTTGTTTAGTCAACCACCTTGACACTAAAGGTGATTGACTAAACAAACTCCACATGTGACTCTGTCCTTCCCACCCAGGAACTGTGGTGCTCCTGTCTCTGGCCTGGCTTGTAGTGGATCGTGACTCTGGATTAGGTATTGATTAGGGGCACGGCCTGTGTGGTCAGACAAAACAGTGTGCATAATCCCACAGCTCCAGACAGGCTACCTGATGATACAAGTTTCCAGCTCCGTATCTGTAAAATGGGGAAAGCAATGCTACAAGGATGTAGCACATATTCAATGTCTGTCCTGTAATGACAACTTTAAAAACAAAACAAAAACAAAAATGAATTGCAGGCACGATTATGACAAGGAACATGGGTCCATTTTATAGAGGAAACAGAGGCTCTTGGAAGCTTTCCCTGCTCCTGTGACAGGGGTCTGCTCTGATTGGATGGTGCCTGTATTCATCGGTGAATCTTTCACCTATCACCCAGTTATGGGGATAAAATAAAATAATGAATGTAAAGCGCATGTTGCAGTGCCTGGCACATACTAAACTGCTATTGCTATAATTATTATTATTAGCTGGGACAGGAACATAGCAGAAAAATTCACAGCATTCAGCACCAGTTCTCCCAACCCCCAATCCCCGCCCAACCACCACCACCAGCCAATTGACTGGTGCCCTGGTTTCTCCTGAGGGGCTCATAACCTCCAGACACAGGTGATTCTTTTCTGACCTCCAGGGAAAGGAGAGAAAGGCATAGGGAGAAAGAGAAGGTAATCATTCCTTTCTATTTTGTTCTGGCGTTCCAGGTCTCCCAGTATACAGATCATTCAGCAAATATTTATTGAGTCTTATGATACACCAGGCTCTGTATTAAGTAAGAAAGCTATGGAGGGCAGTAATAAAGGCATGCATGAAGTGGAGCTGTGCTGCTTGGTGGGGATGGTCTGACCTGCCGACTTTTTTTTCTCCCTTTCTTTCCTTTCTCTTTTCTTTCTTTTCACAGAGTCTCACTCTGTTGCCCAGGCTGGAGTGCAGTGGCACAGTCATACCTCATTGCAGCCTACACCTCCAGGGCTCAGATGATCCTCTTGCCTTGCCCTCCCAAGTAGTTGGGACTACAGGCATGTGCCAACTTGCCTAGCTATTTTGTTTTTATTTTTTATGGAGATGAGGTTTCACTATGTTGCCCAGGCTGGTCTCAAACTCCTGGGCTCAAGCGATCCTCCCACCTTGGCCTCCAAAGTGTTAGGATTATAGGTGTGAGCCACCATGCCCAACTACGACCTGCAAGATTTCTAAGTTAGCTTGGGCTTGCCTTGCGCTAAGACAGCCCGAGAAGCTGGTCAGAAGTTCTGGATCCTAATCTCAACTCTGACACAAACTCCGGTCGTGACCTGGAAGTCCTCTCCTTCCTACGGTAAATCTGTCTCTGTATCTCCTCTCTGGAGATGACCTCCAGGGCTGCTGGGACACTTTCTATGTCAGCTCTAGAGTGGCAGATGATCTCTTTGAAAGTGTCCAGCCCCTCGACCTCCCTTGGAGCCTGGAAACCAAAACAAAGTCTGGCTTTAAGGAGTGAAGCTGGGGAATTGGCCTAAATTTCTTAGACTATTCTCTGCAGACAAGGGAGCCATGAAGAAGTGGCCCAATCAAATTTTTGTTTTAGAAAGAGCACTCTGAAGGCCAGAGCAGAGAATGGGTTGGGCGAGGGTCCAGCGGGTGGACTGAGATGGGATCAGGTGAGAGACAGATGCTGAGTGTCTGAGCTGATTGTTGCAGTGGGATTGGAGAGAGACAAGATGTGGGGGAGAGGCATGTTGAAGGTGGCACTGATGAAACCAGGGGACAGATAGGACGTAGGGCGGTGAGACAGGAGCTGAAGGATTTTCCAAGTTTCTGACCAGTCTGACTGGATTGATCTGACAAGTGACATTGATTACTGTGTGTGCATGTGTGTGTGTGAATGTGTATGCGTGCATATGCACACGTGTGTGCACGCATGCTTACATAGTTGTGTGTATACATATGCATATATACATATCATCAAACCAAAGCCAACACAAGATTCTTTTCCCTTATGATTTGCCTTTTCATCCTAAGAATCAAGGACAGAAAGTTTCAGTAAGTTGGTGACTCAGATTAATTGAACTTTGGCTAGCTCTGGTTTCGCTGCACATGGGAAACCCTATGGCTGCTGAAGAATGAAAGAGATTCAGTTTCTTTCATACATTCCCTCTCTGAACCTCAGTTTCTCCACCTGTGAGATGGCAATAATAATCCCTCCTTTATACTTCTCACAGAGTCATCAGGAGGCTCAAGGCCAGAATTAATGGCAAAGCATTTTGCAAGGCATAGCTCAAAAGCCAGATTCTATATTTTTGGCACAAATGGAGGCACAGAGGCTGGGCTCATCATGATAGATGATGTTGCTCCTGGGTCTCCCTCACATGGGCTTTCTGGTTACAATATCTGAGAGTCAGGCAGTCTTTTGCCAAGTACTTTGTTGAGGCTGTTGTATACCCTCAGGAGAGTCAGGGAGACATGATTGGGGCTCTGGGGTTCAGGGAACAAGGTCCTGGTTGTAGAATGGCATCTGCAGGCATACTTCACTGGTTTATAGACAGCTTGTCCCAGCTGGCCACAGCCCACCTTCATGGTCTGACCAGGTTAAACACTCTTTAACACCAGAGCCTCAAGAAAAATCTTATTCATTGACTTCATGTAAAAAATGAATTATGAGAAATGGCAGCACATTTTCCCACACAAGGCCCAAGGTGGAAGAGTTCAACCTCTTAGGGCTGCTTCTCCACGGGAAGAATGCGGCTTTCAAAGTAGGTATTTTGAATACTATTTTATAGCCGAGGAAACAGAGGCCTAGAAGAGTGAACTAACAGCCCAGGTCACAAAGGAAGTCAAGTCAGAGCCAGGATCCAAGCAGGACCAGCTGTCTCTGAACCCCATGTCCATTCCACCCTGTCACGTGGGGTTTCTCTCCCTTCAGGACCACTTGGACCAAGCACCATTATCTTTTGTTCAGATGAAGAAACTGGGGCCAAACTAGGGAAACAACATGACCTGCAAAAGCTCTTTAGTGAAAGGCAGATTTTAATAAAAATAGTTGGCCGGGCGCGGTGGCTCAAGCCTGTAATCCCAGCACTTTGGGAGGCCGAGGCGGGTGGATCACGAGGTCGAGAGATCGAGACCATACATGGTGAAACCCCGTCTCTACTAAAAATACAAAAAATTAGCTGGGCATGGTGGCACATGCCTGTAATCCCAGCTACTCAGGAGGCTGAGGCAGGAGAATTGCTTGAATCCAGGAGGCGGAGGTTGCGGTGAGCCGAGATCGCGCCATTGCACTCCAGCCTGGGTAACAAGAGCGAAACTCCGTCTCAAAAAAAATAAATAAATAAATAAAAAATAAAAAAATAAAAAAAAAATAAAAATAGTTGTTTGCCAGCTACATGGCACCTATCAGATTAACATAGTGAAGGTCCTGGAAAGGTGCCTAGCACAGAGGAGAGTCAAACTGTGTGCAGTCCTTTTGGCCAAAATCCATAAACCATCTAATGGATTGAGTGTAGACACAGGTTCTTGTGAAGACTCATTTATGGTGCTCCAAAGGACAGCAAGCAAACTGGGGAGCACATAGGTTGAGGTCAGACAAATTGGTGCCAGGAAGAGTAACACTGAGAGCATCAAGATAGCTCCATTTCCTAAGTGCTGATGACGCATATGACATCTCTTCAAGGAGGCGGCCCTTTCCCTGTTCCCGTGGAGAAACTGAAGCTCAGAGAGACAGAGCTAGGGGTCAGCAAGAAGCCAAAAATGTTAACAGAATGTTGGCTTTTGTGGGGAGAAGGAATAGAGGGTAGACATATGGGGCAGTGAAAATTGATGCTGGGCATCAAGGATGGTGGAGTGACTTCTCAGGATGTCTGCTTGCATGGCTTGGACCTGAATACCAGTCTTGTGTATGGAGAGTCATGCAGAAATTCAGTTAAGATGTATTGGACACATAGCACATGTTAGGCCTTCTTGTGTGATAATTTCCATGCCAAAATATCATTCAATCTTCACAGCAAACCTGTAACAGAGAGACAATTATTCTCATTTTGCACTTGCGAAAGCAGTCTCCAAGAGGCGAGGGGAAGGGTAAATGACTTATTCAAGGTCATTGAGTCAGCAAATTACGCAGGCTGGATTTAGAAGTCAGTGTTCTTTCTAATACACTGTGGCCTGAGATGGGATGGCTGAGTAGTCAGAGAGCTGTCCTGGCCTGTAGACAGACTGAAGGTAAAGTGGTTAAAAAAAAAAATAGGTATCTTCGAAGGATAATGTGGGCATTCTCATTGTCACAAGCCTCTGAAATTTTCCAACTTGCATAGAGTCAATATACCAATATTTATCTCAAAATTCCTAGTGACATGAAGGAAACCCAAGTGCCTCATTAAGGAGAGGAATCTGCTAAGGGGAATTAGAGACCAGCTGGCCCAATGTTTTCATTTCACAGCTGAAGAATCTGAGGCTGAGCCAGGTACTTGTTGGAGGTTTGGAGGTACAGCCGGTTCTAGATGTGACTCCTCTTCATAAAATCTCCTGGGAGTGGTGGCGGTGACAAGAGCAGGTAAAATGAGCTGTGTTGTTGGGATTATCACAGTGCTTCATCTGAAGTGGACATTGACCAGTACCCAACCCCACCAGTGACCCCAGCTCGAGAGCAAACCTCAGCTAGTTCCCTGTCTGGATTGGTGCCTTTCTTTTTCATTAAGAGGTGGAGCATAATGCAAGAGCCCAACCAGTCCTTTGTTACTGAATTCATCCTTCTGGGATTCCCCCTTGGCCCCAGGACCACTCCTCTGCTCTTCTCGGCCTTTCTGATGATCTACCTGTTGATTATTCTGGGCAATGGCTTGATTGCCATCCTCATCTGTCTGGATTCGCACCTTCACACTCCCATGTATTTCTTTATTGGCATCTTGTCCCTGTTGGACCTTGGCTACGCTACCACAACTGTGCCCCAGATGTTGGCACATCTGGCCAGTGAGAAGAAGACAATCCCTTTCACGAGCTGTGTGGCCCAAATGTACATTTTCTTGGTGCTAGGCATCACTGAGTCCTGGCTCTTTGCCATGATGTCTATAGACAGGTATGTGGCCATCTGCCACCCACTCAGGTACAAGGTCATCATGAGCTCGTGGGTCTGTGGGGTGATGGTGATTGTTTGTGGACTCTGGGGTGTCACCTCTGCCCTTGTCTACATCATGTTTGCCATGCATCTGCCCTACTGTGGCCCCAACAGAATCAACCACTTCTTCTGTGAAGTCCCTGCAGTCTTAAAGCTAGCTTGTGCGGACACCTCAGTCAATGATCGGGTAGATTGCATTCTTGGTTTCAGTGTCATCCTGATCCCACTGTCCCTCATTCTTATAATTTATGTCAACATTTTCATTGCCATCTTAAAGATCCATTCAGCACAGGGGCGGCTAAAGGCGTTCGCCACCTGTGCCTCCCATATCACTGTGGTCACCATGTTCTCTGTGCCAGCCATGGTCATGTACATGAAGCCTGGCTCTCAGGCCTCCCCGGAAGAGGACAAGAAGCTGGCTCTGTTCTACAATGTCATCTCTGCCTTCCTCAACCCCATCATCTACAGCCTCCGGAACAAGGATGTGAAGAGGGCTTTCCTCAAGGTGACACGCTGGGGCACGACCCCAGAATAAGTCCCTGGAATGATAGCTGGGGGTCGGAGAAATAAGATTCATGGTGCACAGTCACTGTTCCAAACACTCACCACATGACCAGCAGCACCAGTGGAAGCTCTCGCTCAGCTCCCAACCTCAACTCCACACAGGTCCGTGGAAGACAGCTCACTCTGGCAGACCAGACACTGTAATGTCTTCCAGGTACACCAGGCACAGTGCTAAGGCATTTTCCATGAACTATTTCAATTCATCATCATGACAATCCTTTGGAATAAGTACTATTATTATCACTGGTTTCTAGAAGAAGATATAAGTACACAAAACTTAGATAACATGCCCTTCGGGTACATAGTACGTGTGTATTTAAATAATAAAACAACTTGCCCAATGTCACTCTGCTAATTAGCAGATTTGGGACTGGAGCCCAGGCCCGATTCCAGTGACTGTGCTCTTAACCATTAGCCTGTCCTTGATGTAAAGTAATGGGTCCATGGTAAGTGCTCAGTGAAAGTGCAATCTATTCCTGCCCCATTACCCACTGTAATGCCATTTCAAGTGATGCACGCTGACTGGAAGAGAAGCACATTTGAGAAAGATAATTTAAGAACTCTTCATGTGTTCTGTACGTAATTTCTCCTGCTTTCTATTTAACTTTGTTAATTTCAGTTAACAAATTGCCAAAGAGAGGATTACGGCTGTGGTGGAGTGGACAACCTGGGTAGAAGTCCTCAAGAAATAAGATCTTAGCCGGGCGCGGTGGCTCAAGCCTTGTAATCCCAGCACTTTGGGAGGCTGAGGCGGGTGGATCACGAGGTCGAGAGATCGAGACCATCCTGGTCAACATGGTGAAACCCCGTCTCTACTAAAAATACAAAAAACTAGCTGGGCATGGTGGCGCGTGCCTGTAATCCCAGCTACTTAGGAGGCTGAGGCAGGAGAATTGCCTGAACCCAGGAGGCGGAGGTTGCGGTGAGCCGAGATCGCGCCATTGCACTCCAGCCTGGGTAACAAGAGTGAAACTCCGTCTCAAAAAAAAAAAAAAGAAAGAAGATCTTAAGAGTAGTTCTGAGAGAGAAAGTGATAGAGAAACCAGTGGACTGAAAATTCATCCTTACAATAAACTCACTCTCATATGATTGGCATAACTTCACGGAGTCATTAATTCAGTATTTATTAACCCCTGCCTGTAGGAGGGAGATTCCATAAGCACCAAGGCAGGAGCAAAAAGCTTCAGCCTACTTCCACACAAATAATGAAGAAGAAACTAACTAGAAATATAACTATAGTAGTTATTAGTTATTTATATGTGATCTTAGCTATTCATAGGTGATCTTAATTCTTTTACTAATGCCTCTCAGGTCGGAAGTGTGAACCTGGGGTGATATTGTGAAATGAATGACACTAAGGCCAGATGCTCTAAGCCCTCTGTCACGCCCGCATAAGGGCTGCTGGAGGGTGCCTTGGCTGTGTGGCAGCGCCAGAGCTGGGAAAGCGCCCACTGTTTAGCCAGGCAGGGAAAGAGACGTCCAAAATAGCTGAGACGTCTCCTTCCCTGGAGGAGTTAGGAGAAAACTCCACTTCTCCAAGCTCTTGTGGTAAGGCTTGACAGCTGTCAGGTGGGCCCGCAGACATCCGGGGGCTTAACTGTCTCTGTGTGATGCTGTGCTTCAGTGGTCACGTTCCATGTCTACTCTTATGTTCTGCTTCTGCACCTGGTTCCTTTTTTCTTAGAAAAGATAATCAGTAATAGTAATATAAATCTCAATGTTTTAGTTCTTTCTTGATAAGTATGGAAAAAGTACTGATGCATTATGTTCCTTACCTCATTTTGGGTGCCAGAAATTCCTGAGCCCCTACCTGAATGACATGTGATATACTTGACCCTATTACTGCCATGCCCTATCTACCCTGCCCTCCAGTCTCCTACCAGCAAGACCACACCCTACCTACATTGCCCCTAGATTTGCAACTCAATGAAAGTGAGAGCGTCCTAGCATTCAGGGCCACTGCTGACCTCTGCGATTTGGGTAGCAGTGGACCTCTGAGCCCAAACTCTCTTTTCTCAATCTCCGTGTCTTGTGTCTTTTATTTCTACAATTTCTCATCTCTGCACCAGCTAAGAGGGGCTCACTGAACCCTGTAGGGCTGGACCCTATACCTACCCATACCCTGTACTAAGAATTGAAGAAAGGTAAAACATTGTTTTCCATCTTTAAGGAATTCCACAAACAAGAGTGTGTACCAGTGTAGGTATGAGAAATCATAGAAGCACCTTCAAGGAAGACTTTTATTATTAGGATTTTATCAAGAGGAGAAAACAGGATAGAGAATTATAATCAGAGGAGTAATTTAATAATAGTAGTAAATAGTAGTAAAAATGAATGATGTTTATTACTACAGTATTACATACATCTAAAATCTCATTTAATCTTCAGGAAAGACTTCAAAGTATGTATTATTTTTCCAGTTTTACAGATGATAAATTGGAGGTTTGTTAAGGTTAACAACTGTCTAGTTTTTGCTGTTGGTTAGTGGCAGGGCTGAACTTGAATTTTCTTTGACCACAGAACCTGTACTGCCTCCTTGATACAGTCTGCCTCATAGACCACACCTTTGTGAAAGTGTCTGGAGTACTTGGAGTATGAGAATGAAATGCTTTGTCTTGAGCTGCAGTCAGTAAGCTTTCTTGTAAAGGACCAGATAGTAAACATCTTTGGCTTTGTGGGACACATACAGTCTCTATCACAACTTCTCAACTCTTGTTGGAGGGCAAAAGCAGACAAAGACATAATGAATAACATTTTCAACCATATCAAAATTCAAAACCATTCCTAGCTAGAAACCCATATAAAAACATGAAAATTGAGCAGGTCTTGCTGAGGAGGCAGAAGAGTAACCCTTTCTAGGTACCAAGCATAGCCCCCAAGGGAGCACCATATTTGCAAAAATAAGACAGTAGAAACTTTAAATTTTCATTACAGTTGACCAATACGTTATTTTAGTCTTACTTGGTTCCCATCACTGCCATATTACTTTGTTTTGACTCTTGATTCTGCTGTGAGGTTACGTACCTACTGAGAAGTCACCCCTAAAGTTATAAATTCTCTGAATCTTCATGTCATTCAGTTTTAGAAATTAAGGATGTTTGTTGTACATGGGACTTATAAGTCATCCAGCCTAACTTTACATCCAAAATAATGATAGTATTTCTGAATCATATGGCCCTGTAGCTTCTTCTTGGACCCTTCTAAAAGTGGAGAGCTCATTTTCTCACTCTCCTCTGAGAGATAATGCCTCTCAGCAAAATGTTCCATTATTAGACAGTGTGAATCAGTAGGGGTATTTTTTTATTTTTGTAATTGAGTTTAAGGCTTGCCTCCCTGAAACTTTTACAAATCATTTGCGATTTTTCCCTCTGGAAACATACAATACACATGTCTCCCTTTTTTGCATGACAAAGTTGGAAATATGTGATGGGATCTCTAAAGTTCTTTGTAAGTCTCCATGCTCAAATTTCTCAGTCTCTTTTCTCTTCTTTAAATAACATGGTTTAATGGGTCGCTTATTGATAAGCTCTCTTCTCTGGATAGACAAACTCTAGTTTGTCATTTTTCCTTTTGAATTGTAGGTACAAGAATCAAAAATAGTACTTTGAGCACCATTGCACTCTTTGCCTAACTTTAATTAAATCACACTTTCATTAGTTGTAAGATGCAGTTAGGAATGGATATTGACTTTTTTGGATTATGGAATGACTATGGAAAATGCATTTAAATGGCATGGGCCAGTCCCTGTTTAGAAATCTAGTAAGAGCTATATAAATCCAAGGAAAGGCCTCAAAATGAGGTCCGCACAATGTAAGCTGCATATGAAGGTTCAGCACCAAGGATAGCTCCGCCACAAGAAATGCCAGCGCTTATTCATACAACGTGTATTTATCCAGTGTGCACTGTCCTAGCATCTGGTAACACAATGAATCAAAAAGACAGAACCCCTCTATTCTTGTGAGGGAAAGTGATAATTTTGAACCTATATAGCACATTGGAAAATGCTAAATGCTATCTTTATGAAATATTAAATGGGAGGTATAGGAAGTGTGAGATCTTTCCATATACAGAATGGTCAGAAAAGACATCTTCCCTAAGACGACATTTGAGCAAACACTTGAGGGAGGTGAGAAGTATGAACCATAAAGATATCTTGGAAAAGGGAATTTCCAGCAGTGGTAACAGTAAGTGCAAAAGCTCTGAAACAAGAGCAAGTCTTGTGTGAGGAGCAACAAAAGACTGCATAGGGAACAGGTAGTGAGGCAGGAGAATCGGGTCTGGAGGCAGGGAACCTAAAGCCGATTCTTGCTGGCTTCCTAGAACTAAATCAAAAGGAGGGTGTTTCAAAAGGAGTAGCTGCTGATCCTTCTGTTACTTCCCCACCTCTCCATGCGGAAGTAACAGAAGGATCAGCAGCTACCCCTTTTGCAACGCCCGCCCACTTTGCACTTCCTGGCAGAGGAAAAATGAAAAGTATCTCTGATCTGTCCCCTCCCACAACCAACCAGACTGGTTGCAGGTCTAGTCTTCATTTGTATAGGGGTGTAACGCTGTAACTTCACTTCAACTTCTGATTGGTCACTCCCACAACCAATCAGATCAGTCGGGAGGGCAGTACTTTATTTACATAGGGCGTAACCAAGTAACCAGTGAGAAAGCTCTAGAGGCATTTAAACGCTAGAAAGTTCTGTAACCAGGACTCTTGAGCCATCTGCTCTAGCCAACTCCTGCTCTGTGAAGTGTATTAATACTTTGAGTTCAACAAATCTGTGCTTTTTTTTGCTTCATTCTTTGTTGCTTTGTTTGTGAGTTTTGTCCAATACTTTGTTCAAAACCCCAAGAACCTGGACGACTCATAGTCAAGACTCTCTATGGGTAACAATAGGGTGAGAAGTGAGAGGTAGGAGGTGAGGGCAGGGAGATGACTCATCAGGACTTTAGCTTTTCTTGATGATACAAAAAGCCATGGAG